CTAATTTTCAAATTAGAACTTAAGAGAAGCAAGCCAAAGGGGGAAAGAGGTAGAATCATTCGTACCTGACCCACAAACAAGAGCTCTCTCTTTAATGCCTATGTAACACATAGATTTGTGTTTTTGTTTTGTTTTTAGTTAATTTCAGGAGGCAAAACTATGAGCAGTATCTATTTGTTGTCAAATAACTTATAGCATGGTTGGGAGCACCTGTGGACTTTCGGAATTTTGTTGTCTCTCTTCCCAGGCACAAGCAGGAGCATGCAAGGCCCTCACTCTCAGACACATACAATATTTAAAAAGTTTTAGATCACACAGCATGTCAATGCACTGTTTCCCTATGGCCAGGCCAGAAAATGAAAGACAATCTACACTTTGGATGGTGGGTAGGCTTAGACCTGCAGAGAACCATCATAGCTTTCAGCTTTGGTCACAGAGTTGACAGACATTTGGAATTATTAAACAGTACTGATAATCTGGATTTTTATGCATATTCTCTCAATTGTTATATACTTTACCTCAAAGCTATAAATACTGACAAAGGAACAAAATATATAGATGGACTGGGTCTGTAGGCCCATACTTCATGAACTCTGGGATTTACTACGTTACAACATTTCCAAGTAAAGATAATCATGGATATAGGTAATCTTCTAGTACATAATTTTAATGGGTACAATATTGAGTTTTGTGGACATACAATAAATTCATTAAATAATTCTCTCTTTATGGCATTTACAATTTTACACTTTAACAAATAATGGTGCAGCAAACTTCTTCACACATGTATCCTGTTTATAGATTTGGGTATGCTTTCTGAGAAGAAATTTCTATAAATTGGCTCATTGACCAAGGTTACATAAATTGCTCTTTGTGATAGTAAAATTGCAAAAGCAATTGATAGTTCTGATATATTCCTATAACTCATAACAAAAACAATAATTATTTTTAAAACACTTCACAAATCAATATATGAGCTTATCAGTAAGGATAGTTTTAGTTATCATTTTATTGCTTTGAAAAGTTTTTTTTATTTTTCATGCTATTGATCACTGATATTTTTAAAAGTCTCATGGTCATACTGACTGAGCTAGCTGGGCTCATTGGCATTTTTTTAATTTGTCTTTTTTCTTTGGACAGGGACTTTTCATACATGTGCTTTATCTGTTGATATTTAACCTTATAGTGTTATGGAAAAACAATTTGTCTATCCCAAAGAAGTAAATATTTCATGATAATTTTCTTTAACATGTATATATTTTATACTCAAACCTGTAATTTATATGGACCATATATAGAATAAGGTGTGAATATATCTAATATTGACTTTCTTCCAAATAATTTAAAAATCACCCCAGAAACATTTATGGTATAATTTACATCTTTTGCAATAATTTGCTCTACCATCTAATGAATATTTTTGTACCTCTGGGGCTATTCATGGGAGTTATGGTTTTTTCCAATTTTTTCTTGAGTGACAAATATTTAATAAATTAAATTATTGGGAAAATAAGTAATATGCAAATATGTGGTAAACAATCCAAACAAAAGGGAATTTTCTGTTTTTTGTTTTGTTTTGTTTTGGTACTGGACATTGAACTCACAGACACTCAACCACTGAGCCACATCCCCAGCCCTATTTTGTATTTTATTCAGAGACAGGGTATCACCGAGTTGCTTAACACCTCACTTTTGCTGAGGCTGTCCTTGAACTTGTGATTCTCCTGCCTCAGCCTCCCCAGACACTGGGATTACATGAGCCACACCTGTGTGTGTGTGTGTGTGTGTGTGTGTATAATTTATTAGTGTTCTGTTTGGAATTATCTTTATTCTATTTTCATAGACTTTAGAATATTTTGTGAATCTATTTAACCTGAGAGATTCTACTGAATTGTTTTAATCTCAGAACACTTAACATCTCTATATTATTTTCACATGAAGGAATGTTTTTCTCTAGTTCAGGTTTTCTCTCTTGATGTCTGTGATGTCTTGTAGTCATGTATATGTGTGTGTGTGTGTGTGTGTGTGTATGATCTTATATATAAAATTTTTATACATTTGGGACTTCATATTATATTTGTTTGCATTTTGCTAAGTTAGACCTTGTTTAGTTTTGGATACACAGTGAAGGAGTATTTTTGTCCCTGTATTTCTAATTGTGATATAGCATATGTACATAATTCAAGTAAACTACAGGGAATATGTCAAAAAAACTAAAATCATTAATTTTATGTTTGGCCACCTCTATATAATAGTATAGGGCATATTAATATATGAAAGTTATTATTTTACAAATGACTCTTTTCCATATATAAATGAATGATATATTAATTAAAATTATTCTTATATAAAAGTATGCTCAGATGAACTTTATCTTATTTCACAGTCTTCTCACCTCTGAATAAGGATTGGTGGCCACTCTCTTGCTTCTAAATTTATCCTGTATAGAACTAAAAGTTTTCCAAAACAAAGAATATAAAACATAAATCTGCATACCCTGTTTCCTATTAAACAGACCCAATCTATACTCAATTGAGACACGTGGGTTCTACTCTCACTCATAAGTTAGTTTTTATCTCATAATTTAATATACTTACAAATTAAAAATACATATCTAATATATTTGCTTTACTCATTTAGAACCTGAAAAATAACTTAACAATTGACAGTTATTTGAATTAAGGCAACAATGCTGAGTTTGTTTTTTTTGTTGTTATAAAGCAGAGAAGGAACTTTAGAAAGCAAATGTTTTACAACAAAATAAATACAAATACAAAATAAAAACAAAATAAAATAAATACCTCTATGTTAAAATTGATGTGGCTTATGTCGTGTGGCCCAGTGAGGGGAAGCTGTGAGGTGGAAATAATACTTTTAAGTCAAAGACATAATATTGATGATTCTGTTACAAAGCCAGAACAACTCAAAAATAACTCTTATGTGGAATAGCCACTAAATGTCAGTAAGCATGGGTCCAAAATACATTACTGACTTTTCTGAATTACCCTTGATGTCTGAGCTCTGACACTTTTGATTATAAAATGACAGCTTTATTTTTGCTTTAGAATGTCCCCTGATTCTTCCCAAGCTCTGTCACTTTATGATGCAGAGGTCAGGGACAGGGTTGGATCAAGGGAGCAGGTACACTCAGACAGAGAGCCTTTGCAAGAGCAAGGTCTTGATTTCACCTTCCACAATTAGTCTCCTGTCTTTGGCTGGTATGACTACACTCACACACCAGCGAGCAACCTTTAAACAAAACAGTAGAAACACGGTCACACGGCTTTTTCTTTTAGTATTGTATATAGGAGCTAATTAACTAAAGCTTTTCACTGGGTGGCTGTGACCTCTATGTGACTGAATTTGTGAGTGGTTTCTGCTTTGGGAAAGAAAATGGTATCAAAGGCATTGGGAATCTGTATTTTGTCCGTAGCATACTTTTTCTTTCTGCTGTGGGATTGGCTTCTTTGATCAGAGAAAGCAGAAATGAGTGCCTAGGCTAATGTATTTGAAAGCTTTTCTTTCTTGATGATACAGGGTCAAAACCATGCACCTGCCCCATTCCATGTTCTTCCTAGCCTGAGCTGATCTTTCTGACACACAGGAGGTCTTTGGGCTTCAGCAGGCACTTTCCTGCAGAGAACCTGGCACTTGTCTGCCTGCTCTGCATTAGGGGAGTTTGTGCCTGGGTACTCCCCTGCATCTGTCTCCACAGTCGCCAGGAGCCAGAGCTGGGAAGAGCTAACATTGTTGGAATATCTATTTTAAAAGTCCAGATGTCAAGGGTGGTGCTATTTTCATCCTCACATTTATAGATAAGGCACATTAGTTGGGTAAATGGGTAAAATTTTCCGTGCCAGCTAGTGAATGGTTGATGCTCAGTCTTGAAGTTCAGGGGGTGTCAGCGAAAAATTTTGTTCCCAATTATGTGGACATCTCACTTGGAGCAGGAACATATTGGATCTTGCTTTCTCTTTCTACCTGTCTAGATATAGTTAGGACTCAGTCCTATAAATAAAAACACCACTCAGTGAACTGGCCTTACTGTAAGTACCTCAATATCTATCATGATTATGTGACTATGACAATTGATTTTATGAGTCGACTTAGTTAGGCCATGGTATTCAGTCATTTGTCCAAACATGAATCTAAGCGTTGCTCTGAAGTTATTCTGTCGACATGGTTAGCATCTAGCATCAGTTGAATTTAAGTAAACAAGAGTTTTGGTAATCATGAAGGTGGGCCTCATCTAATATGTTGAAGCCCTAAAGCAAACACTAAGGTTTCTGGTAAGATTTTTTGCCCCAAGGCTGCAGCATTCACTTCTGCCCGAATTTCTCACCTATTGGCCTGGTCAGCAGATTTCAGGCTTGCCAGTCTCTGTGATTTCACAACCCAGCCCCTTACTGTGAGTCTCAATAGAGTCAGTTCTTGTTATTCACAAGGATTGTTCCATGAAATCAGTATGAACACCAAACTTGAAAATACTACATTCAGTTTTTTGTTTGTTTACTCATATTTTGGTGCTGGGATTGAGCCCAGGGCCTTGGAACATGCTAAGAACATGATCTACCAGGGAACTATACAATTCCAAGGAACTGACTGAAAATTCTAAGTCATTGCTGCTAGGAGAAATATAGGGCTAGGTTCAAAAAAGTCTGATATTTTAAAAAAATTAAACTAAGAAAAAATTGACATATTAAGCTATGTGCTTAAGGTAGAATATGCCTCTTCTTTCTGATAACCTAAATCTACCGAGTTTGGAATAGCAGACATATCTTAACTAATAATTTGACTTTGGTTTGTGGTTGAACTTTAAACTAGAGTTCATAAAAATATTCTAACTTGACCATATAGATTAATTACCTTTTAACAAAAGTATCAGATATCCAATTTGACCTGATGTATCTGCCTTTCCAAAAGTCTATTTTGACTTCTTAGCAAATTATATTATGTCCGTAAAATGTATTAATCCATTTAAAGGTTTACTGAGCACTTACTATATGAGTTGACTTAGTTAGGCCAGGCATTGGGCGCTGGAGATACACTCTTGAACAGGTAAGATCCAGACCCTGCTCTCATGTTGCTAACAACCTGGTAGGAAAGAGAGACAAACAATGTATGGAAAACAGTAAAAAGAATTACAAACTTGCCCCCAGACAGGAAAATGCTGCATATCTGTCTTCGTAAGAACAGAGTTTGCACTGGAATCCTTGGGAGAGAAGGTTGAGGATACACAAGTTAGAACCAAAAGCTTGAAGTATGTATGTGCACCCTGGAATTGATCAAGCCAAAACTCCACTTTTGCAGGAATGTGGGGTATTGGCATGTCCTCTAGGCCTGAGAATAGAATCCCGGGTACTAAAGGGCATGACTCTGAGAAACACGGCCTGAGCAAAGGCTGCAGCCTAGGAGCAGTGTGGTAATAGGGGTAGTAAAACCTGGCTACCATTAAGAAATGGGAATCCATGACCATGATGTGCTCCCAGGACACAGCATGTGTGCTGAGTTCCCACACACAGAATGATTGAAAATATATTATGCGTATGATTCTATCAGGCAGACATGGAAGAAGGATTTTCATCAGAGAAACAGAGAACCCCAGATATCACCCAAGAAAATTACCGCAAACCTGGCAAGGCTCTGAAATGGAATACTATGGTACCTACTTCAAATTGTTTGTAAAGATTAGATACAACTAATTTCGATAATATGGCATTGGCAAGAGACAAGTCAAATAAGTCAATGAAAAAGACGAGGGATCCCGGAAAGAGACCAACAGAATAGGATGAAGATGGCCTTCAACAAATGGACTGGGAGCTGTACACCCACATGCAAAACTTGAATCTAGACACTGACATTCCACCTTTCTGAAAATTATCTCAAATGCATGATAGATCTAAATGTAAACTGTAAAACTCCTTGAAGATAACACAGGAGAAAATCTGCAGGACTTTGAGAATGGCAACGATTTTCACATGCAACACCAAAGGCATAATCCATGAATAATTGATAAGATGGGTGTCACTAAACTTAAAGATATCTAAGTCTGAAGGGAAGAGTCAAGACAATCAGAAGACAAGTCACAAATAGGGAGAAAATATTTTTAAATGACATCTCTGATAAAGAACTGTTATCCTCAATTTGCAAAGAGCTCTCAAAACTCAATACTAAGAAAACAACCTGATTTAAAAACCAGCCAAAGGCATGAACCAGATACCTCATCAAAGAAGATAACCAGGTGGAAAATTAACATATGGAAAGATACTGCATATCACATGTTCCCAGAAAAATACAAATTAAAACATCAAGAAGACCATTACACACCTATTAAAATGACCAAACTCCGGAACACCAAATCCCATGAAGGATGGAGGGCAACACTACCTCTTGTACACTGTTGTTGGGAATTCAACATGGTAAAGCCGTTTTTGAAGATAGTTTGGCATTTTTCTATAAACTAAACATGCTCTTACCATATGATCAAGCAATCGTGTTTCTTCGTATTTTTCAAAGGAGTTGAAAACTTATGTTCATAAAATACATTGAACATAAATGTTTGTAGCAGCTTTGTTCATAACAGCTTCCCCAAACTAGGAAGCAACCAAGATGTCTTTTAGGAGGTGAGTGGATAAATAAACAGTGGTACATCCAGACAATGAACTATTATTCAGCACCATAAAGAACGGAGCTAACAAACCATAAAAAGGCACTGAATAACCTTAAATGCATGTTCTTACGAAAAAGAATTGAACGTGAAGAGGCTACCAACAGTATGATTCCTACTACATGACATTCCAGAAAAGGCAAAACTGTGGAGAGAGTAAAAGATCAATGGTTGCCAAAAGTTGGAAGATTTTGAATAGGCAAAGCACCAAGGACTTTTAGGGCAAGGAAATAAACTGGTTTGCCACTGTCATGACAGACGTATCCCAACACACATTTGTTCAAACCCACAGAATACAGAACGCAAAGAGTAACTCCTAATGTAAACTGAATACTTTGGGTGGTTATGGTAGGTCTAGTGGGGAAGCTATGCATAGGCTGCGTTAAGAAGTTTATGGGGAGTCTCTCCAACTTCCTGTTAATTTTTCTGTGCATCTAAAACTGTTCTGAAGAGAAGACTTAAGCAATAAATATGATCACAATGATGTGGTAGAGTAGTCTGAGAAAATGTAGAGAAGCAAGACATTTTAGTGCACATAAATTAAATGGTGCTGGGAAGGCAATTTTTTTTCCTGGGAGAATTGAAAGAAGATGGCTAAGAGAGGGGAGTTGTGAAATATTCATATATTGTGCTTAAGAAACTCAAACCTTAGCCCATAATTGGAATCTGATGAAGAATTCTAAAAAGGATCTACTCCAAATAAATTTGTAGTTTAAGTAGATCTCTTCGATCACTGTGAAGGAGATAAATTTGAAAAGACAAGACCAATGACAAGAAGATTAATACCTAGGTCAGGACAGTGATTTATGACCCTGAACATTTCTAAAAATAATAAGGGTCGAAAATACACACATTGGAATGTATGATTGTATGTGGGGACTAGGGAGGACGGATTGAAGATGACATACACATTTCTGTCATGAAGTGTTAACTCCAAAGAGCAGAGGGGATCACACTCCTTATAAAATATGTGCATCAGAAATATCCACTGTGGTGGCTATTACAATGAGTTTGCAAGACAATATAAATTTTATTCTCATTAAGTAATCTGCTTCTCAAATAAGCATCTGAATTCACATAGTTTAGGGCATAGCACTAAAACAGAAAATCCATGGGGCCTGATGACTTAAAGTTTGATTCCTCCTTTAGTCATTAATTATTGTGTGACCTTGAATTAGTTACTTAAATACCTTAATCCTCATCCATTTAAATATTTAAATATTAAATAAAAACAAGGAAAAGCTATGAAGTGGGAGGAGATATATGAAGGCAAAATGCAAAAATTGCAAACCATAAGGGTGATAATATTTACCCCGGCATGTATTTCCTCCTAACATGTATAGAGATGGATACATAAAATATGGAATCGATACAACTTGGGGTCAAGAGAATGAGGCCTAAAATCAGACTTCAGACTAGTGAGGGACAGATGGTAGCCCTGTCATAACTGTTGACATTTAACAAGAAATATAATCTCTCCATGCCTTAGTTTCCTTTTATAAGATGGGTAAAATAAAGTCACCAACCTCATAAGTTTGGTGGAAAGACTGTGTAAAACTATGAATGTAAAGTATTTAGAATATTTCCTTAAACTCAATATGTCTAGAAGAAATATTAATTACTAGTGTGAACATGTAAACTTATTTGCATAAATATGAAGTGCATGTATGTATGCAAACATACTTATTAGGCTGAATTATATAATTGCCCGTGTTCAACCATTTTGACTCATAAAAATGGCAATGTCCTATAGTTTGACTATGTGTGTGTGTGTGTGTGTGTGTGTGTACGCATATGTGTGCATGTGTGTGTGCATGTAGATAGATAGGTAGATATATAATATACTAATTTAATTATCTCTTTTCTGATAATTTTCTTAGGTAAGCAATAAGGATTACATTCTAGGGCAGAGAGTACTTCTGGATTCCAAATCAGAGCTGTGTAACCTTGGACAATCAACTTAACCTCTCTAAGCCTCTCACCTCCTCTCTACAATGAGAAGAATAGAAATTTATTAGAAATATTAAAGGAGATAACATATGTGGTATGCATAGCAAATAAGCCAGTTAGATAACAAATATTTAAATATGTTAGCTCTTAATGCATGAATCATTAAATATTTACTTAAATCCCGTTTTTTGCAGATGACCACACTATATTTTCTGTCCTTCAACTTCTTTCCTTTTTCTTCTCTTCCCTTTTCTTTTCCCCTTCTTTGTCATCCCTTTTCTTTCCCTCCCTGTCTTCCCTTTTTAAATCCTTTTCCTTTTTTCCCCTTTCCCTTAATTTACTTTTTAGTAAGTTTTCTAGATATATTATAACTTCCTGGAATATAATCCAATGTGTGTGTGTGTGTGTGTAAATTTGAGGGCAGTGGTGAGATTCCTATGAAATTAATTGTGTAAGCAGAGTTTAGACACACAATATTCCTTCTCATCCTAGAAGAGAGCCTACTAATGCCAATCCATGAACCTTCTTTATTTGCTTGTAAGAATATCTAATGAAATAAGAAAATGTTGGAACTCTTGTGATCAATAAAGAATGTCCTACACATTCTCCTGAAAGACAGAAGGACTTAATTAAGATCTGAATGTGTTTACAAGAATATTTAAATGGCCCTAGACAGAGCAATGACTGAAAAAGGAGGGATATTAATTTAGAAGGATGTGCTCCCGGAAATAGTCCTTGGTAGCTCTGATTTATGCATGCTCACCTGTGTAAATTTACCTGTTTGCCCTATCTGGGGCCATTGGAACTGCTGTGGTCCATGTGAAGGGCAGAGACAAAAATGATCCCTAAGCTGCTTTGAGAATTTGTATTCTTATGCCAGGACCACGTAAGTAAAAATTGGCTGTGCCATAAATACCGTTAAATGACAAGAGGGGCTCTAGGAAAATCTTTGAGAGAAGCGCTTTACAGATCCACCTTCTGACCTCTAATCTGAAGAGCAAGGGGAAACCCTGGTTTTGGAAGGTGCAAATGAAGGCCCAGTAGTAGGCAGCCCATTAGTGCAGCCCTGTCTCCGGGAAGACAGGGCACATGAGGGAGAAGGTCTGGAGGTGGTCGCTGCTCTCCCACACAGCCTTGCTGCAGCTGTATCAGCCACTGAGGAAAGGTGATTGTGAGCCTGGACTTGAGGGAAGAGAGAAGTGGAGAAAGGAGGAGAAAAAGAAACGGAAATAAAGAAGTGTACCTGGGAGCAGTACCTGACTATGTCAACGACATTGAAAATGCATTCAGTTTCCCATTTAGAAGAGTTCTTGTTGGTTTGTATTGGTTTTGTCAGTTTGTTTCAATTTTACAAATACAAAGGTGTAAAACATTTTGCATCGGATTACAGGTAGAAATTAAGCTAATAAGTAAATGAAGGAATGAATGCATATATAAACCAATTAAGTCTAGTATAGGTTGGGAATATTTCACCTAT